CTACATCCTTCTTTTTTGCTATTAATTACACCTTTTTTACATTAAGCTTTATCGACACCTGCTGTGGATGTCGATATCATTTCTTTTGATATGGCTATACTATAGATTTAATATCAAACTCAATTTTCTTTTTGATTACAGCTTTTTTTTTACTTTTAGTTTCATCAACATCTACCACATTTAGAAAGTTTAAAGGCTATTTCTTTGTTCACTTTGTATGTAATATGTGTATGTAAGGCCAATTTCTAATACTTTTTTACTTGGTTACACCTTTTTTTAATTTATATCTGCCACAGTTACTAAGTTTAAAAGCTATTACTTTTTAATCTCTGTAATAATTTAATGCCTAAATCAAATATTTTTTTGGTTAAGTACATCCTTTTCACAAACAGTAAGTTTAAAAACTAAATATTTTTCAGTAGTGTTTTGATTTTTCTAAAAAAGTCATTTATTTTGTTAATTACATTTTTTTTTTGATTTTTAGCTGCATCTACATCTGCTTTGGTTGGTATGTTAAAAAACTATTTCTTTGTTAGCAGTGCATAGTCTATCTCATTAAAATTATACTATAAATTTAATCCCAATTTCATTTTATTTTTGTTGTTTACATCATTTTTTAACTTTAAGTTCCTGCAGCACAATCTTCTGCAGGTTAATGTATAAATTGAAATATTTTTTTATGATTGTTCTTCGTTTTTGAAAAACTTTAATGCTTATTTATATTTTATAAAAGTATTTTATATTAAATAAGCCAATTCTTTATAAAAGTTTTTAATTTTTTTTTTTTTTTTTGGAAGGGTTTATATAAAATGCTTCATAATGCTTTGAAATCTTAACTATCATTGAAAAGATGAATTTATACAAACACTTATCTGCAAAACAACTTGAAGATTTAGATGATGTGATGTCTGAAAGAATTGCTGGCAGAAAACTCTGTCATGAATGGTATGATACTGACTCATCAAAGTCTATCATTTATGATGGTAGACTAGAAAAAGTAAGCAAGAGACAAAATGATAGAATTTACACTATTTTTTACTGAAAACAAGATAAAACTGACATTGAAGCTGTTGAGCATAAGATGAAAAAAATCCAGCTAGCTGCTGATGTTGTATTAGATGAGATAATATTTTCTTAGTTTGAATATGAAATAATGTAAAAATGCTTGAAAAAAAAGTTCTGCAAGTTTTGTGGCTTGCAAACAAGTACTTCAAGGTTTGTGGATTGCAAATAGATACAGCAAGTTTTGTGGTTTGCAAACAAGTACAACAAGTTTTGTGGCTTGTTATTAGGTAAAGCAAGTTTCGTGGCTTGCAATTAGGTACAGCAAGTTTTGTGGCTTGCAAATAGGTACAGCAAGTTTTGTGGCTTGCAAATGGGTACAGCAAGTTTTGTGGATTGCAAACAAGTACCGCAAGTTTTGTGTCTTGGAAATAGGTACAGCAAGTTTTGTGGCTTGCAAATTTTTTTTGATAGATGGCTCTGGCTTACCTTCACATGGTGTCTATCATTAAAAATGATTTATTCAGTTCAAAAATGGAATTCAAAACATAAATCATTTACTAAAAGCCAAGACAATAGTTAATTACTTTTTTTTATTTCAAAAGACTTGCTGCTTTGTGTTTTTTTTTAGGTTGGAGTTCAACAACAAACTTGCTTTACCTAATGGCAAGCCACAAAACTTGTTGTACTTGTTTGCAAGCCACAAAACTTGCTGTATCTATTTGCAGTCTTGCAACATGGTAAAACAGTTTTTTATACTATTTTATATGAGGTTAAAAAGCATTTTTAAACTTTTTTTGTTAAATTCTAATAAAAACTTTTTTTAGGTATTGGGCGGAAGAGGGGCGGCTTGCACCTCCTTTTATGAAGGCAATTTATACACCACTGTAACATGGTAAAACAGTTTTTTATACTATTTTATGTGTTTAAAAAGCATTTATAAACTTTTTTTGTTAAATTCTAATTAAATTTTTTTTTTAGGTATTGGGCGGAAGGGGGGCGGCTTACACCCCCTTCCATGAAGTCAATTTATACACCACTAGTTACTATTTTTCCAAGTATCGAAATATTTTTTTTATTTTTTATACTAAAATTAATTGTTTTAGTAAAGATTGAAATATTTAAAAGAATGAAATTTTGATAGGGTGTGTTAAACCTTATTCAAAACCCAACACCCGACTTTGAGATAGACTTGTAATATTCACTAGTGATGTGGAATAAAATAATAACAATTTTTTGTATATAGATATTTGTAATTTTTAAAAGAAAAATACTTTTTTATAAAAAAAAGTGTATTTTTGTGAGGTGTAGGTAGTGGATTAGCACCCCCTCCGGATCCCTGGATGCGCCCTTGACCTAAAATTTAATTGAAAATTATAGCCCTTTTTTACACCTATCTTTCGATACCAAGTTATAGATATTTGAATAAGAATTAGCAAAGTTATAACAATTTATTGGAAAAAAAAATTTTTTTTGACCACAGTTTTATCAAGAAATCCATAAATCGAAAATTTGCTACTTAAAACGTCATAACTTTTGATAGTATTGTCCGATTTTCATAATTTTTTCACCTTTAAAATACTGTATTTGAGGGCTTTCAAATGATATATAACATTCTAGTATTTGATAAATTTAAAAAAATCAGTCCACGTACCTAATATATATATATATATATTATATATATATATATATATATATATATATATATATATATATATATATATATATATATATATATATATATATATATATATATATATATATATATATATATATATATATATATATATATATATATATATATATATATATATATATATATATATATATATATATATATATATATATATATATATATATATATATATATATATATATATATATATATATATATATATATATATATATGATCGCCGGGGCAGTATTTTGAAAACTGCGAACAACTCGATCTAGATATAAAAACTTATTAATTACTAAACTAAACAAGAACAATCTGTCTTTAAGTAAAAATAAATGCTTTAATAAAAAAATTGACGAACATGGTAAATTTCAACATTACAACAACCCTTGCAAAAGATCAATGTACCCTATGTATATATATATCATTACAACCTAATACACACCAGTTTATAAAGTTTACATTAGAAGAATAATCCAAATTCTATCTATGAAAATAAGCCCGTTATATACTACTAACATATATATGTGTTAAGTTTTACAAAACTTGAAGCTTATAAAGTCTATAAGAATACAGTATTTTAAGTTTACAAAGAAAATACAAGATTCATACAAGACTTTTATTAGGACTAAAGTTTACAAGATTATTTTTTTATATTATCATCCTTTGTCAAAGTCAAGTCGTGATGCTGCTTTTACATTACATTGTTTTTTGTTCCTAAGCAAGTAGTTTTTAATTCCCCCCTTTTTTTATCTTTTGCAAGTTTCTTTTCTTGAATGATTTGTTTTAGAGTTTTCTTTTCTTCTGACAAACGAATTTCATTTCCGATTGGAGTATCAATCAAAATCCTTGTTTTTAATTGCCTACTTTTAACACTTCTTTTTCTAGCAGATGCTTTCGGATAAGGTTTCAAAACATCAGGTGAGAGTAATGAAGCAATGCTTGGTGACACTTTGTTCGAAAAACTTGTTTCATGATGTACTACAGGCATTTCAGGCTCCATACCATCAACATGTGCTACAGTCATTTCAGGTTCCACAAGAATTGTGTTTACTACATTTGAAGCAGCACAATCTGTAACTGATGATTGTAAATATTCATCATCTTTAAAAATATCTGGAATAAATGGCTCAATGCCAGCTACTTGAAATCCTCTCTGTATATTAGATGGTGAGAAAGCTTTTGTATATGGTTCGCTAACTATTGAAACAATATCATAAATGGTCATAGGTCTTGGATTTGTAACCATCCAATTATCACACGCAGCATTGTAAAACCTTTTCAATGGTCCAAAAACAGTTTTATCCAATGGTTGAAATTTATGGGTACAATGGGGAGGAAAACTTAGCATTGTAATTCCATGTTGAATTGCAAGATCCATAGCTTTAACAGAAATATGACTTTTATGGCTGTCCAGGAGTAACAAACTGGAGATTCATGAGAACAGTTTGAATACCTCACAAAATGTTTTATCCATTCTATAAAAATGTCTGAATTCATCCAACAAGAAGGATTTGCAAATCCCATGCATCCAGGAGGACCTTCCTTTATCATGTAATCATTAAATTTGACCCTAGGAAAAATAAATAGTGGAGGAATAGAGTTTCCAATTGCATTTGAAGCACAACATACAGTTACTAATGTTCCTCGTTCTGCAGATGTGATTCTTCCTACTTGTTTATTTCCTTTACCTGCTAACACTTTTACTGGCTTTTGTACCGTTTAAACCAGTTTCACCAACATCATATATGCAATAAGGATCAAACTTATATCGATTTCTTACTGTTTTTAGATATTGGAAAAATTCTCCTACAATGTGTCTGTTAAAGGCAGTTGATCGAGCAAAGCTAGTTGCTTCAGGTGTTTGTAAAGACAACTCTGGTTGTCTTTTCATAAAACCTTGCAACCAATCAATCCCTGCAATTTTATTCTTGATCCATGATGAAGAGCAGATCTTATTATTTTTTACAGCAAACTCATATGCTAATAATCGTGTTGACTTAGTTGATTTTTGATGCAAGTAGTAAATAACTTGACAAACTTTTTTCATCTTCTGCAGTAAAAACTTGTTTATTGTTGTAATTAGGCTTAAAAGTATTATTTGGATTGAGCTTCTTTTTATTACAATATCTTTTTTAAGTCATTCAATTTATGTTAAACTTGCAAGCTACAACATTCAATGCCCTCTAAAACTTCATTAACAGCTGCTTTCATTGTACCACATGATATAGCAACTCTATCTGTTTTTTGTTTTTTTTATACCTAACTATTTAAAGATCTGAAAATTAAAAAAAAAAGTAAAATAAAATGATTGTTTAAAAAAAATATTTTATATAATAATATTATTTAAACTAATTGAAAAACTTATGTAAAACTAAAAACAAATGTTATTAATATTAGTTTTTAACACAATTACATTTTAAAAATGAAATTTTAAAAATTTATATAAAGATTTTTTATTCGTACCATAAGGTACAGTTAATATATTGATGCCAATAACTTCTATAAATATAGTAATCAACTCAAAAAAACAAATGTATTGTAAACTTAACACATATGAGTTTACAATAAATTGGTTGTAAAGTCATACGGAAATCTAATTAAAAATTTATTTGAATTTGTTTACAACTTTTAGAAATTACTTTTCATAATGAAAAACTGTATTTTCAATTTTCTTAACGCTGAGTTTGATCTTATCAAAAATTATTACAATTAAGCAATGAAGGGTAATTAGTATAATGATTAATTAAATTGCAATCTCTGTTAAATTAAGGCAAAAGTAAATGAGTAAAAGCTAAAAGATCATACTGCCCGGCGATCAATGCGCCCCCATCTCCCTTATAGAAGTAGTGGTTTTCCCAAAACAAATTTGAAAGAAAAGTAAGAGACCTTGTGTTCTTATATATTTATAATAATATATATATATACATACATATATATATATATATATATATATATATATATATATATATATATATATATATATATATATATATATATATTTATATATATATATATATATATATATATATAATTATAAATATATAAGACCTTGTGCTCTTATATATTTATAATTATATATATATATATATATATATATATATATATATATATATATATATATATATATATATATATATATATATATTATATATATATAATATATAATTCACGTGCTCTTATATATTTATATATATATATATATATATATATATATATATATATATATATATATATATATATATATATATATATATATATATATATATATATATATATATATATATATATATATATATATATATATATATATATATTTGCTATATTTATATATATTTTGTTATATTTATATATATTATATTATGTTATTTATTTATTTCAATATTTATATATTATGTTATTTATTATGTTAATTATTTATATATATTATATTATGTTATATTATATATATATATAATATTATGTTATATTTATATATATTTATATATATTTGTTATATTTATATATATATACATATATATAAATAAAAAGTTTTTCGGTTTGCCGCTAACAACCAATCAAATTTGTTTTAAATTATCAGCTTTTTTTTTAATGCCTTAGTTGCATTGAGTTTCCCAAAACAAATTTAAAAAAAAAGTGACTTAAAATTCAACGAAATCAAACACAATCACGTGATCTTATATATATATATATATATATATATATATATATATATATATATATATATATATATATATATATATATATATATATATATATATATATATATATATATATATATATATATATATATATATATATATATATATATATATATATATATATATATATATATATATATATATATATATATATATATATATATATATATATATATATATATATATATATATATATATATATATATATATATATATATATATATATATATATAAGATCACGTGATTGTGTTTGATTTCGTTGAATTTTAAGTCACTTTTTTTTTAAATTTGTTTTGGGAAACTCAATGCAACTAAGGCATTAAAAAAAAAGCTGATAATTTAAAACAAATTTGATTGGTTGTTAGCGGCAAACCGAAAAACTTTTTATTTATTGATATTTAATTTATGCAAACAAAGAATTCGAATTGAATGTAAATTATTTATAAAATTTTCCGCCTCTGTTTACACCAAGGAGGTTTAATAAACAGGAGACGCCGTAGTATATACTTTATATAAAACGCGCTGAAGCCAGTTTTTAAAAACAACCGCCATCTTGGTTAACCCAAAACATTGCGCGGAACTTTATATTTTCAGTATAAAACTTTGCTAAAATGAATTGAAAACTTTGATATAAATAATTGAGTAAGTTGCCAGTTATATTTCTTAGGTTATATTATGCTACGAGGAATTGTTTGCTAACTGATTATCGGGTTCAGTTCATTCCAAAATATTGGAATACTGAAATAGACATTCAGATAGTCAACGCACTATTAGCAGATTTCGTATTTTACACAGTGTTAACATCTTTTGGAATAAAAACAAATGTTTGTGAGTTTTTTAAAATCAAATGTAAACATAAATATATT